ATGGAGCACCTGGAGAATGGCCCCAGTGTCTCTGTCGATTATAACACTGCCGACCCTTTGATCCGCTGGGATTCGTACGAGAACTTCAACGCTCAGCGAGAGGACCATCCAGAGGGTAAGACCCTGCCCCCTACTACGGCTCCACGCAGCTTGTAACTGACCCTGAGGCATGACCAGCTCTGCCTAGGCTTACCCCACCTGAACTACTGAGCCTCTCAGTTCCTCACAGCATTCATGGCAGTGGATAAAGCTGCATTACAAATGGAGATTAGCATCATTGAATGAGGCCATTCAGCCCAGGGAAGTGGAAGCAATTCAAGAAGGGTTCATTCTTGTGTTTCCTGGGATAAAGTATTTGATTTCAGATGAGGAGGGTTGGCTTTCCCCATTGGACCCAGAGTAATCCTATAAAAGTTCATCTCGGTAAACAGATCAGATTATTAGGAGTTTGAACTGAGAAGAGTCGAGAGGACATGTGTCTCATTAGGGGCAAAAGGAACAGGAGGGCAGATTTTTTTTAAGAATTTGAGTCATTCTGCACCATAAAAGAAGAAGGATTTATTCTCTCAGATGGGCTTCATGGAGTAAAAGGTCCCTCCAAAGAGCAGGGTTGACCAATTTGGAATGTGTTGTGCAGATTGAGTCTGAAAATATTTTGATGTAATCAGGAGGTTACCCCGGAATGTAGTGTTAAGGTCAGATCATTGGCACTGGATAATACAGCCAGACTAATAACAGAGCCAGTGTAGGTACAATGGGCTGAATGGCCTCCTCTTGCACTGTAACAATTCTGAGCTTTTGCATTCTGTGGTAATATTCTGGTGAATCTGTGTTGCTTTGTGAATCCTTATTGGGGCTGTGCGTGTGGCTTAGAGAGAGTGCTGTTCCCATGTATCTGCTGCCCTTGTCCTTCTAGATGGAAGTGGTCGTGGGTTTGGAAGGTGCTGCCTGAGGATCTTTGGTGAATTTCTGCAGAGCATCTTGTAGATAGTACACACTGCTGCTACTGAGCGTCGGTGGTGGAGGGAGTGGGATGTTTGTGGATGTGGTGCCAATCAAGCGGCTGCTTTGTCCTGGATGGTGTGGAGCTTCTTGAGTGTTGTTGGGGCTGCACCCATCCAGGCAAGTGGGGAGTATTCCATCACACTCCTGACTTGTGCCTTGTAGATGGTGGACAGGCTTTGGGGAGTCAGGAGGGGAGTTACTCGCTGCAGTATTCCCAGCTTCTGGCCTGCTCTTGTGGCCATTGTGTTTATTTGGCAAGTGCAGTTCATCTTCTGGTCAATGATTACCCCCAGGATGTTGATTGTGGGGGATTCAGTGATAGCAACGCTATTGAATGTCAAAGGATGGTCTCTTAGATTGTCTCTTATTGGTGATGGTCATAGCCTGGCATTTGTGTGGCACGAATGTCACTTGCCACTTGTCAGCCCAAACCTGGATATTGTCCAGATCTTGTTGCATTTGAACACGGACTGCTTCAGTATCTGAGGAGTCACGAATGGTGCTGAACATTGTGCAATCATCGGCAAACATCCCCACTTCTGACCTTATGATGGAGGGAAGGTCATTGATGAAGCAGCTGAAGATGGTTGTGCCTAGGACACTACCCTGAGGAACTCCTGCAGAGATGTCCTGGAGCTGAGATGATTGACCTCCCACAACCACAACCATCTTCCTATGTGTCAGGTATGACTCCAACCACCGGAGCATTTGCCCCCTGATACCCATTGACTCCAGTTTTGCCAGGGCTCCTTGATGCCACACTTGGTAGAATGCAGCCTTGATGTCAAGGGCTGTCACTCTCACCCCATCTCTGGAATTCAGCCCTTTTGTCCATGTTTGAACCAAGGCTGTAATGAGGTCAGGAGCTGAGTGGCCCTGGCGGAACCCAAACTGGGCGTCACTGAGCAGGTTATTGCTGAGCAGGTGCTGCTTGATAGCGCTGTTACTGACACCTTCCATCACTTTACTGATGGTCGAGATGGGGCGGTAATTGGCCGGGTTGGATTTGTCCTGCTTTTTGTGTACAGGACATACCTGGGTGACTTTCCACATTGTTGGGTAGATGTGGGTGCTGTAACTGTACTGGAAGAGCTTGGTAGAGGAGCAGTATCATTGCTGGAATGTTGTCCAGGCTGTATTGGTGCAGGACATTGATGTTTCGCACTCTGCAGGAAACTTAGACAGATCTCGCTGAGCTTGGATTTCCCCTTGCTATTCTGAAAGGGCGCCCCTGTGCTGCTGACGACAGTGGAGAGAGTTTTATCTTTCAGACAGGTGGCTGTCCTCCTGTCTGTGCCCTGATTGATGGTGCAGAGGTGCTGAAGTATTCAGAGGAACTGATGAGCTCAGCAGCACCATCTCAGTGTTGCTAGAGGTAAAACAGAAGCAGGCAGGCAGGATCCCTGGCCCCACTGCTAATCCCTTCGGATTCCTGATCAGTTAGGCTGAGCTCAGTGTCAGTGAGTAGTGAGGGATCCTGGCTCAGCTCAGCCCTCTCATCGTTCAGGATGCCAATCAGAACTGAAGACTTGCTACTGCTGAAGCCCCACACTTTAGGAAGATGTGTCTGCCATCACTGTCTTCAATGTGTGACTTCTTACTTTGAGGTGATGCCCCGTGGTCCTAGACTCTCCCAAAAGGGGAAACGACCTGTCCATATCTCCCCTGTCAAGTCCTCTCTCGCTAATGGAGTCTGAGAGGAGCTGCAGGAAAGCACTTCACTCAAGACAGGATTGTGTTTTTTTGCAGTGACCCATGATGCAAATCTTATTATTTTATTGATTCATTGGTTATACGCATTACTGGCTGGGCCCAGCATTTATTGCCCATCCCTAGTTGCCCCTTGAGAAGGTGGGGGTGAGCTGCCTTCTTGAACCGCTGCAGTCCATGTGCTGTGGGTTGACCCACAATGCCCTTAGGGAGGGAATTCCAGGATTTTGACCCAGTGACAGTGAAGGAACGGCGATATATTTCCAAGTCAGGATGGTGAGTGGCTTGGAGGGGAACTTGCAGGGGGTGGTGTTCCCATGTATCTGCTGGCCTTGTCCTTCTGGATGGAAGTGGTGGTGGGTTTGGAAGGTGCTGTATGAGGATCTTTTGTGAATTTCTGCAGTGCATCTTGTAGATAGTACGCACTGCTGCTACTGAGCGTCGGTGGTGGAGGGAGTGGATGCTTGTGGATGTTATAATAATCAAACAGGCTGCTTTGTCCTGGAGTCTGTCAAGTTTCTTAAGTGTTATTGGAACTGCCCCCATTCAGATAAATGGGGAGTATTCCATCACACTCCTGAGTTGTGACTTGTAAATGATGGATAGTCAATATAGTATGGAGCTGGAGGAACACAACAGGTCAGGCAACGTCAGAGGTGCAGGAGAGTTGACATTTCGGGCTTGGACCCTTCATCATGACCGAGCAGGGCGAAGGGAGCTGGGAAATAAATAGAGGGAGGAGGCATGGAGCTGGAGGAAGGTAGGTGGGATGGCGATAAGTGGAGGAAGGTAGGGAGTGGTGCGGATTGGTCAGTGAGGTGGGAGGGGCGGATAGGTGAGACAGAAGATGGACAGGTTGTGTCAGGCCAAGGAGGTGGGGATGAGAGGGAAGGTTGGACATGGGATGAGGCCAGGGGTGGGGAGATTTTAAAACTGGTGAATTCCATGTTCAGGCCATCAGGCTGTAAGCCCCTCAGGCGGAATATGAGGTGTTGCTCCTTCAGTTTGCGGGTGGTGTCATTGTGACACTGGAGGATGCCCAGGATGGACATGTCACCCAGGGATTGGGAGGGGGAGTTGAAGTGGTTCACGACTGGAAGGTGTTGTCGTTTGTTGCGAACCGAGTGTAGGTGCTCAACAAAGCGGTCTCCGAGTCTCCACTTGGTCTCACCGATGTAGAGGAGGCCATATCGGGAGCAGCGGAAACAGTAGACCAGGTTGGAGGATATACAGGTGAATCCCTGTCAGATATGAAAAGTTTGTCTTGGGCCTTGGATGGAGGTGAGAGAGGACGTGTATGATAGACAGACTTTGGGGAGTCAGGAGATGAGTTACTCGCTGCTGCATTCTTAGCCTCTGACCTGCTCTTGTGGCCAATGTATTTATTTGGCAAGTCCAGTTCATCTTCTGGTCAATGATTACCCCCATGGTGTTGATATTAGGGGATTCAGTGATGGTAACACCATTGAATGCCAAGGGGCGGTGGTTAGATTGTCTCTTATTGGTGATGGCCATAGCCTGGCATTTGTGTGGCGCAAATTTCACTTGCCACTTGTCAGCCCAAGCCTGGATATTGTCCAGATCTTGTTGCATGTGAACGTGGACTGCTTCAGTATCTGAGGAGTCACGAATGGTGCTGAACATTGTACAATCATCAGCGAACATCCCTACTTCTGACCTTATGATGGAGGGAAGGTCATTGATGAAGCAGCTGAAGATGTTTGGGCCTAGGACACTACCCTGAGGGCCTCCTGCAGAGATGTCCTGAAGCTGAGATGATTGACCTCCAACAACCACGAACATCTCCCTATGTGTCAGGTATGACTCCAACCACTGGAGAGTTTGCCCCTGGATTCCCATTGATTCCAGTGTTGGTCAGGCTCCTTGATGCCACACTTGGTCGAATATGTCAAAGGGGAGACGGTGCCACTGGGCTCGTCATCCCAAATCTCAGGACAATGTTTGGGAGAGTTGGATTTGAATCCTACTTGACAGATAGTGGAATTTGTATTCAGTATAAAATGGAATTAAAAAGGTCTAAAAGTGACTGTTTAATCATGGTGAGTTGTTGTAAAAACCCATCTGATTCACTAATGTCCTTCAGAGAAGGATATCTGCCAATCTCACTTGGTCTGACCTACATGTGACTCCAGGCCCACAGCAATGTGGTTGATTTTTTAGGTAAATGCTGGCCCAGCCAGCATTGCCCAAATCTCATGAAGAATTGAGAAAGGCCAGTCACTCTCACACAGTGTCTCACCTAAAAGATGTGCCTTTGGGAAGAGCAGGACCTGAGGGAAATGGGGAGAAGGTGGATGGGGAAAGACTGAGGTAAGCGGAGGAAGACCAAAGACGGTGAATGAGTGAGTGAGTGAGTGGGTGTGTGAGTGTGTGAGTGAG